ATACATATGTATTTCGAAAATAGAAAACATTTTTAAATTTAAATAAAAATTTATTTTCATAATAATAATATAATTATGACTTATTTATTTAAAAAAATGAAAAGAACATAATATTTATGAATGTATGTAGGTATTTATATAAAAGAAAATTTCTAGAGAAACTACATGATAATGAGTACCGGCAAATACCGGTTAACGAAAATTTATTTCATTCTTATACTTAAGTATATTAGTACTAAAATTTTTATTGTTTTGTGTAAACAGATTTTTATCTGTAGGCAAATATATAAATAATAAAGTATATAACAATAATCTCATAATAAGTGTTTATATGTATATACTTTGTTGCTCATATTATTTATATGAGAAATTGTTAAACGGATGTTTTTGCCTATTTACCAAACACGCATACGTATATTTGTATTTTGCGTATATATATACACATATATGTGTTATATAAAATAAGATATTTCTCGTTTTATTTTTAATATTTTTATAGATTAATTTCGAAAAATGCATTCATATTGGTAGGGAATTTTTTTCATCTTTATTCTTATCATTTTATAAAATTGAAAATTGCAGACTCATGACATACAGAGAACAAAGAGATAATTATATACATATGTTAATAATGAAATCAAATTTGTTTTTAAATGAAATTTTGAATAAAATCATTAATATTATTCACAATTATTCCTTGAAAAGGTAATACACCTAATAAAAAACTCCAAAAAATTAATTCGAAATTGGTTATAAAAATATTAATATTTTTATTTAATAAAAACAAACATGTGTGAAAATAATATTATTAATTCGGTACATACATACATTCATTTAAATTATTTAAACAATAATGAAAAATTTTAAACAACTCTTATGGAAAATGTATTCCAGATTCGAATATTGCAAATAAAATAATAAAATTAAAATTGAATATAAAAAATGAGAACATAAAATGAATGTCAAGCCCTGAATTTTTCTTATATATTATCACGCTTTTTGTTTTTGTTTGCATATATAACATACTCCTATACAATGTGTAAATATAACTATATGTATATATATATAAAAAATATATTAATATAGTTAAAGTAAAAATTCTTATGCATAATGTATAATATTTAATCGAATATTTGTATTTAAAGTTAACAAAATTTTAAATTCTGTGTTCTTTTTTGTTCCAGTGTAATGATGTAAACATGTTCACATAGCGTATAAATTAACAACACAAGTAGATACACACATATACTTATGTAAGTATATAACAATATCTTTAATATTTTATTGCGTTAATTCTTCGAATAATTCATATAATTCTATTTTATATAATTTTATGAGATTAAGAATGGGGTTTTATAAGAGGTACTTAATGATTTTAATATAATTTTAAAAATAATCAATGTAAATTTTTTAATGGCGTACTTTTTAAATTATTAATATTAAAGTACGTACGTATATTTTGCATCAAAGACATTGGAAGTAGTTTTTCATTATCTGTTATCAAGAGTATTGTCTTATTTTTTAATAAAAAATTTTCAATACACATATTGTATAGTTTTTTTTTTAACTTTGCCAGAGAATTAAAAATATAAAAATAACTCTAGCAAATATGTGTCAGCTAAAATTTATTAAAATGCACATTAAAGTAAATAAGAATAAAAACTCATTTAAAAAAGCTGTTCAATCATAACAAGTTTAATAAAATACTGAATTCGATACTAACATTTTGTAAGTATATTTATTGGGAATGAAATTAATTGTTCTATTTTTTCTAATTACTTATGAATGTGAATGAGACAAATTATATCATCACTTAATAATATACTTTAACACGATTTTATCTTACGTGATCATCTTATATATGTATGTACACATTAATTCTATGAAAATTGTAAGTACAAATATTTGATTTGAATATCATAATAAAAAAATATACATATTAATTGATTATGTAAAAATATTCTACAATTTTTATTCAGTATTATTTAAGTTAAAATAAAAAATATTTTAAATAACTAGATTTACATAGAAATAATGTATTTAGATTAGTCGTTTTTAATGCAGTTGAACATCAAGGGGGAAAATTAATTTTATAAAATAATTTAAGTAGATTTTATTTAATTGTAATAAAAAACTTAATATTCAATTTAATGTTTGTCACAATTTATATTACGTATAATATACTATGTATAACTTTTATAAATTTTCCATAAACTATGCCAAATATAAGATGTTTTAATGAAATATACTATACCCTGATAAATTATATTCTACTAATATTTATTCAATATTTTAAGTTCCCAAAATTGTAATCAGAATTCGCATATTTGTAATAAAAATTCTTATAAATATTAGAATTCGATTTCAGTCAAAAAATTAGTTTTTTAATTTTAATAGTTCGTGAATTTATTCAAGTGTTTCTATAACACAATATATAGAGAGACTTAGAAATCCTTGAAGAAAATGTGTTTACGGCTATAATAATAATGTAATGAACGTATTTTACACTTTATAATACGAAGCAATCCAGTACGTTAACGATAAAATTTTGGAAAATTAAAATTTTTAATTTATTTTATATCTTACATCAAAAAGAATCCTAATAAAGTGAATGCAAAACCCAATAAAGAAATTATTAAAAAAAAATTTTTTTTTTGAATTTTCTTTTAATATTAAGAAAAATAAGTTTAATAAGAATTTTAAAGGTCACTTTTAAAATACTATAATCAAGGTTATAACGCAATTACATTATAAATATATAGTATATTATTACACCTTTTTATATCAAGGACAATTATTTTCGCTTTCTTTTCTATATATATGTAATTATTTATTCCTTTTTTTCAATAGAAACCCTCTGAATATAGGGTGTGCTAAATTTAAGATTAATTTTTATATTTAAAAGCAATTAATCGGAATTTGATATTGCTAACCAATTGAACAATTAAATTTTATCGCGTTGAGACCATTGGGAGCAAATTAATACTCCAAAAACTACCACGACATGATGAAGTATACTGACCTTTCAAAATTTGAGAAGACAATCAGGAACTCGAAATAGGGTATAGCACCGGGACTAGTTGGCATAACATCAAAAGAATTAAAAGCCATTTAATGTCCGCCAAAATTGAATTTGGGGGACATTATATGAGAAGTAATAAACGTTTCTATAAATATTTAAAATCAACCATTACGAGTATTCCAGTATTTATAAAAGTGGTGTTTAATATTTAGCAGTTATGAACAAATATTTATTTTAAGTGTGTTCTATAATTCTAAATTTTTATTTGAATGTTTTTGTATAACATTTTGAGGTGAATGCAAAATTAGTTCTTTAGTTGCCAAGAAAGGTAACAACATTTCAATTAATAAGAACCGGTACAATTAACATTTCTTATTCTAGAAAAATATTTAGATAATTTTTCTTTTAATACTAATCCAATTTTGCTATAAAAATACTCGTAAATTAAATTCTTTTTACATAAAATTTAAATTTCAAATTGAGACACTCTCTAACTATAAATATAAAAATTTTCAATATGAAAATAAAACACAAACTTTATCAAAATACTTATACAATAAAAATGTAGGTACTTTGTGTAAATAATAATTAATATTCTATTTTTAAAAAAAAAAAATTTATTTTAACTTTTATAAATTAAGTATATGTATGAATATATATAAAATTAGGTATTCTAAGTTTAGAAATATTTTGACGCAAATACTTAAACCTATTTTAAATTATTTATTTTGTATAAGAATATAATTAAGTGGAGTCGTGTTTTTTCTTTATCGAATTTATTATATGAACATTGTCTTGTGATATAACAAAACAAGAAGAAGAAGAAGAAGAAATACAAAAATAAAACAAATAATTTTATAATCACGGAATAACCTGATTTGCCAACAATATTGAATTATAAAGAAATTAATGCCCATATATACAAAATTCTAATGGATATACGCTATTATATACTTATAATATGCAAGAGTAAAATTATAAGAATCATTTGCAAAATAAATATATTTGTATGTATGTATGGAAGTATTTTTATATACAATTATAAAATCAGTTAGATAAAAGCTTTTTATATATATACGTATACACACATTTATATTGATATAAAAGTAAAGAAAATTATAATAATAAAAAATATGAAACTACCTATAGAAAAACAAAAGTATTGTGTATATTGAATAAATTTATTTAAAATTATTCAACATATGTGTATACACACGTGACCTAAAAAAACTATAGACGTAAACATCTTTGATAAAATAGAGAAAAAATAAAAGAAAAAATATAGAAATTGAGAAAAAATAAAAAATATAGAAATTGTTATGAAACTAACAATGATTCATTTAACGAAAATATTATATACTTAAGAAATTGAAAAAACTAGAAGAAATTTAGATAAATGATCCATATAAGAAAATAATACTCGTATCATAGAATGTATATACGTACGTATACATAACATATACGCAGTATATAATCCTATATAAAACAAAAAGTTAAAAAATTATGCGATAATTACCACCGCACATGACCACAATAATATACGTGTAGGAATAACCACTTAACTCAAAGATTTGCAAATTAATGCGAAAATTACAACTTCACTCATACGCCTCATACACTTTATACCTCAAATCCTTATCCATATAATATAATACGCATTATATATAATTAAATAACGAAAACAAAAAAATATATGAAATAAAATAATGATCGACCTATGTAAACGTACCAACAACCTATTTAAACTTAAAGATTTACCAATTATCCTAATATTGCAAGAATTAAACTAAACTAATGCCTAATTTTATGCAATAATCATTTAGAACATATCAGAAATTTTATACTATATTACACAAGATTTACGTTAATTGCATATTTAATGCAAAATTAATATTTAATTTTGGAATAAGTATATGAGTTTAAAATAATAATTAAATAATTATATAAAAAATATATTTTAAAATTAAACTAAATTTACCTTTCATATTTAACGGGATGCGGTGCATGTCCGTTTGGTTCCCAAAATGTCTCCATTTTGTATCAATTTTTCAAAAAAAATTTTTTTTTTGTAATGTAGTCCAAATATTTATTTTTTCCTTTATTTTTTTGTTTTTGTAATAAATTTTCCTATGAGTTGAATGGAAATCCTTAGTACTTATATGCAAGTATAAAATATATCCTTATTTTTTTGTTGTATTATAAAATATTTGTATTTGTAAATAATTATTTTATTATTTATGAATATTGTTTTTATATTTTTATTATTAATTATTTTACATATTAATTACATAATGCATATATAAAGGTGAGTATATATAATTAATTATAATTCTATTTAGTTGCTTTGACAAGTACCTTATACTTAATTTATAAATCTCAAATTGTATTTTTTGAGTTCTTATTTGAATTTGAAGAAAAAGAAAAAAAATAATTGAAAATTAAGGAATTTGTTTTGATATTTAATTTTTTTTTTTGGTTTTCTTTTTTTAAATATTTTAAAACTAAATCATTAAATTTTTTTATCACATATAATTTCCCACAGAAACGTAATTTTTATTTCAATGCACACATTTATACACTTTATTAAAATTATTTTAATATTTTAATGTTTTTGTTTTATTTGTAAATATATATATATATATATATGTATTTTTTAAATGAAATTAAAACAAAATTTTGATTTATTTAAAAAGAAATTCAACCATTTTTTATTCATGCTTTTTATCATTTTCTTTTATTTTTCACTTTAAATGACTTTCTGTTATATTTTATTTTATTAATATAAAAATATTATTTATATCATTTCATTTATGTAAATATATGATTTATAATTTGTAATTTTTTTAATAAACAATATAGAATTAGTTCATTTTTTAATAAACTATTTTATTTTTTATTACCAAGCACACTTTATTAATTTTTTTTTTAGCACTACTTTTTTATTTACCAAATTGAATTTATAGTTGAGTTGTAATTTCTTTTCAGACATTAATTTTTGTATTTATTTTTAATATTTTTATTATTAACATTTGGAAATTGTTTTCTTTCTATTTTGTATTCTGAAAAAAGGAAATAAATATTATACTTAATATTTATACTTATAAAATTTGTTATATGATATTTGATTATAATTTAAATATACAAAATATTTTTGTATATATATTTAAATATAATTTTAATTTTAAAGTAAATTTATAAGTAATTGTTTAAAGTTTAAGTCAGAAATTTTGGTATTTTATAATTTTAAAATATTAATTTTAGATTAATTTATTTAAATTTATTAAATTAATTTGATTAATTATATTATATTAAATAAATATTAATTTTAATAGTTGTAATTTTTATATTTATATTTATATAAATATTAGATTTAAAATAATTATTTTAATTATAAGTAATATAAAATACATAATTATATCTTCATATTTTTCATTTTCTTATACAAAATTAATTACCTATGTATATAAAAATACAATATTTATAATATTTTTTAATATAACATATATCAACCTACATAAGCATACTATTTAAAATATTTTGATATACATTTTCGTACAATTTTAATAATGGTATAGAAACGAACGAATTACAACAATAAAATCATGAATGATATAATTATCAAATAATATATTATTTTTATATACATATACAAATATATAATATAAAAAAAAATCCTATTAAACTAAATGGAAAGTTAATGTGGATTTAACAGGAACTAAATGTAAAAAATTGTCAAAATCAAAAAAAAAACACTTATACAATAATAAATAGTTATGTATTTAAATGAGTATATATATAATGCATGTCATATGTATATGTAATATATATACCAAAATGTTTATATACTCATGACTTAGTCATTATGTTATATAGTTGTAATTAAGAATCAAAATTATTTTCAGTTTTGTAATAAAACTTGTTTATTATTGTTATTTAATTGAATTATTACCTATAAAAAATTTTCCTTTAAAAATTTAAGAAACAAAATTTTTTTATTTTTTATATTTTATTGAAATATAACTAAGTAGTATAACATATATAATTAAAAATTAATTAAATTCTTATAATAATTAATGAGAATAAACTCGTGTACATTATACATTACAAAATTCAAATTAAATTAAATTAGTTAAAATATCAAATGATCATAAATTTATACACAAAAAAAAAAAAATTAAAATAAAATATTTTTATTTTGTACTTTATTTAATTACATTTTTTAATGATATAATGCATTATAATTATACATATTTAAAAATTAAAATTTATTTTTTTTAAATAAACCAGGTGTTTACACAACGCCTTTTTCGTCAATGGTTATTTTATTCGAACAAAGCTTGTCAGTTAAGGGAATGAAAAATGTATGTCAACCATTGACGCAAAAGTTGCCGAGTAAACACAGCATATTGCAGTTACAGAATAAATTGAATGAATTGAAATAAAAAAATATATAATAATAAATCTTAAATATCTGCAATTAAAACCTACACGTATACATACAAAATAATTTTAATATTTAAGTATACATTTATACGCAAGTATACTGGTTGAATTTCAAAAACATCAACATTTTTATATGGTGAATATATTTTATATTTATGTAAGTTCATTTAAAACTTTATATGATATTTTAAAATATAGAAAAATTTTTTAACTATTATACTATCTTTCGATTATCAATAATATTATCATCTACGAGGAATTTTATATTATACGTAAGTAAATATTTAAAATTAATAATACATTCCATTGTGGAATCGGAAGAAAAACAAAAATAGATTAAAATCATACATATATGTATAGGTACATTCATATATATATTACATACTTATAATATGTTATATACATTTCCACATTATTGTAGACAAGTATAAATTATACTCATATATGTATATGTAGTTCAATAGAAAATGTAAAAATGCTGATTTTGTTTTTATTATTATTCTTATATTTTAAAATTTTATTAAAATTAAATCATCTAGTTATAAATGTGTGTAAAATTTAAATTTATTTTTCTATATACATATATATACATACACGTAAGTGATATAATTATGACTTTCTTAGTAATCGTATTAAAAAGAAAAAGATTTTACAAAAAAAAAATTCTTAAAATTCATATTAAATTAATTAATAGAACAAAAATAATTAATAGAACAGTACGTATTATTTTTATTTTTGATTTTTTGACTAATAAACATTCAATTATGATACGTAAAGGTTTATATTATATTTAAACAAACACACATTCTTTTTACTAATACTATGATATCGACAAAAAATCTTCGACTATTTTAAATTTATAGAAGAAAAAAATTGTGTGTAAAAGAAAGTAATTTAATATTAAATTATCCACATTATAATATATTTTTTTAAATATATATTTCTAGAAATTAAAGAATTGGAGTCATCTATATATTTATGATTTGGGTCATATAATAATAACAAATTATTTTAAACAATAATTATGTTAATAATTCAATATATAACATTTTATATATGTACATATATAATACACTGTTATACATAATATTTATAACACAAAAAATACATACATATATCTACTCATATAACATAATTATATTAATATCGCTCATTGATATTCACATATCATATTTTATTACAATTTGTTTGTTTTTTTTTGTATATAAGAATAACGTATAAATATGAGTACAATATTTTGTTATACAATATATTAAATTATATAAAAATTAAAAAAAAATTTCATTCACGTATACCAATATTAATTTGAATTTGTCATTGTTATTTCTATACATTGTATATTTATTTATTATTCTTAGTAAAAATCTATTAGCGAGTTCTTTATTAAGCAGAAATTATTTTGCAAATAAATATTATTAAAATTAATTTTAAAAAAATTTCATATACATATAGTATTTTTCATTCATATTCATTTAGTGTTTGAATAAGCAATTGTATTTATAAGAATTTGATTTTGAAATCAAATGAAAATATTTTCTAATATACATAATCATTTTCATTAATTTAGAAATTGAGATGTGAAAGTCACTTTGCACAAATGTCAATAATATCTATGTATGTACAAGTATATGCATATTAAACTAGTTTAAATTTTGAAATTTTGTTAACTTTTTATTATTATATATATATATATTTGCAATAATATTTAAATTAATTAAATTTCTAAATTATAACTTTTAAATTAATTATGTATTTTTAGATATAACTAAAAATTTTATAACAATAAAATTTTTCATTGATGAGTCTATAAAAAATTATTAAGAAAAGATTTCCTTTGAAATTATCGAGAGTAATTATACAAACTGTTATACTATTAATACTATTATTGATACTATTAATAAATTTATTATTAATACTATTGTTATACTATTAATATTAATTATTTTTTTAAAATTTGAATTCTTGTCTTTCTGAAAGTACAAAATAATAACAAAATAAAGAAAAATTTAGCTTTCGAGCTCACTATTAACCCTTTACAAAACTATTTGTTTGAAGTTTCTTTCTAATTTAGAACGATAGTTCTAACAAAAAAAAAATTTCTGGAATAAAAATCCGAAATTTTGATAATTCAACCTTTAGGGATTCTTTAGGATCCATGTATCTAGGAAATAATTGAAAGTTAAAACTTAGTTTTGTTCAATCATTTTAACCGTTTTTGATTCTCTTCGACTAATTAATTATACATTAAAGCACTCATTAATTAACCACCTTGTATTTAACACCTTTTATATGATAATTTATTTTGAACTTAATTTTATTTTAAATATGTAATTAAAATCGAAAGTAAACTATCGAATTCAATATTTATAACAGATTAGTAATGAAATATTTTCCCCGTTATTATTTGGTTCAAACAAATTATATAATTTAATTTATCCATATTTTAGAAATAAGTACACTTATATATTGTTATATAATTTATGATATTATTAAAATTGATATAAATTGATAATAAAATACTCGTGTATCACATTTAAATATAACAAATTATATAAATTAGAGCAAAAATAATATTATTATATTAAAATTTTCTTCCACCATTATTTTGATTTAATAATAATTATTATTACTGTTTAAAATAATTTAGTATATACTTAGTAATTATAATATTATTATTCATTTTAGCCAATAATTTTTCAAAAATTAACTCATGCACTTTTTTATATGAAATGTAATAAAATATAAAAAATCGAATAAAAAAACAAATAAGAAAATTTTTGTTTTTGTTTTCTTTTGTAATTTTTGAAAAATCTTTACACCCGGTTATAATAAACAACAAATAATAATATAAAAATAAAACTAAGCATTTAACCGGAAGAGGGGTTGTTATTATAAGTACATATTTGTATGTACACATTTGGGTGCTTATATACATACATATAATATTTTTATTTATACATGTTAACATATACTCGTACATATACTTTTATAGAAATAAGAAAATTTTTATAACATGAATAGGAAAATTTTATACATAAACATTTATACATTGAATGCTTGTACATATGTATGTTGCAAATATAATATAAAAAATAATACTACGTATATATATAAAGTATTTGTATAAAAATAATATATAAATAATCATTATTATATTGTATTCAACACCTCAGTCAGTACTTTGAACCGTCACAAAAGTTTTTTGTGCTTTTCATTTGTATTTTTTATACTTATTTTTTGTTTTTCATTTTTTATTATTTAATTTCTATAAAATAAAAATACAAAACTTTCAATAAAAAAAAAAAAAAATATGTGCATATGCATGAATATTTGTGTGTAGTTATGTGTGGTTGTAAAAAAAACATGTGAGGACACACGATTTTTTTATTTATTTTTTAAATACAACACGCTTTTTGCACATATTAAATACATTCTTGATTTCAAATTGGTATACACACTATACATTATTATGATACTTATGTATGTATATACGAATAGAGGTATGTGCTTTCAAAATATACATACATACATAGAAAATGATTATTCTTATTTGTAATTTTTATTATATTTAATAAATCTATATAATAACTTTTTCATTTTAATAATA